CTGTTTGAGTCTTCAACTAGGGACCTCTAACAGAAGCTGACCCGAGGAGCGTAAAGCTCTGCCACAATTACGAAAAGTTAAAATCTCAGACAAGTAAGAGTGGGTAAAGCCATGAATGGCGTTGATTGATGTATGGATGTTGATTGAAGTATTCTTCCAAATCGTTTAGAAGTTGATGTGATATGAACTGAAAACCTTTAAAATAACTAAAGAACTTACAGTATAGGGATATTACTGTCTGTAGCTGTTGACAGAGAAATAATATGGATTTTTAATTTGTAGTAGCAGCAGTTGCTTTCTCACTAAAATGGTAGAAAAGTGGGAATATGTCTTTGACAGTTTTCATCGGCAAATAATCCCAGTCGATTGTTCTGTACTGGAAAAAGGATCTAAAAATAAGTAGAAATGTCTTAAATTAAGTGTATTTATGCTTAATTTAAATAGGTAAATGAGATAGTTTGCCAATGGAATGAGTATTTTTGCTCTTAAAATAAGAAAATTTGATAAAATGCACCTGAAATAAGACAATGCAATTGTGTTTTCTTATTGTGAGTGTAAATTGTCTTGTTCCATTGGCTAAATCTCTCTTTTACCTACTAAATCCAAGAACAAATACACTTATTTTAAGAAAAAACAACTTATCTAGATTTTGATTTTTTTTCCAGTGTGGTGAATATTTTCAGCAGCAGAAACTCGAGTTTAAGGTGTGTAACTGCAGGTATTATGATCTGCTGCTCATATTTATGAGGATCAAACAAAAAGAGTCTGTCGTACCTGCCGTTCGGAGCCCCAGATGGGCCTGCCCGTCGAGCCCGTACCCGCCTAGAGCTGCTCCTTCTGGACTGTAGGGACCACCCTGACCTGGGAGACCACACACGCAAAGTGAGACACAAATACACACTCAGATACACATCACATATTTAGACAAAGACTGGCTAAAGACTGACCTGAGCGGTTTGACTGGTCAATCATCGGCTGAACTATTCTCCTCCGGGCGTTTATGAACCTGCACAGGGCGCGAGACATAAAGACAGAATGTGTTCAGAGAGGGAGAGAAAAAGATATGGATGAGGCCGACAGCTAATGGAGAAAAAGGCAGAGCGGGAGACTATTAACCTTTTCCCTTTTACAAGCACTTAACCCTTTCAGAGGGCAGAGTAAATCAACGTTAGGGCAGAGCACGTATCGATCCGCCCTGTGATAATTGATTGATCCGCTCCCTCTGTGTGCTGCTGAAGTTCGAATAGAAACATGTAAGCTACAAAACCATGTTTGTCAAAACAAAACACAGCGAGAAATTCGTATGCACAGTGAAGTAAATACTTGGAAGCAGGTTTTTTAAAAGCACGACTGCTTTGAGGTCTGTTGTCGTTAAAAAAAGGAACTTAGAAGCAGTAAATAATCTGATTATTGGATATCGATCCCTGGGTTTGTTTTATGAGCGACAGGATTTTACTGGCTGAGGGGAGAAAAATGCTTTGCAGTACATTTTTCTCTGGCTCATAAACTATGCACCAGTAAACCACAATCTAATGCTCTTTGAAAGTCTTATAAAAGTGTGACCCTTTCTTTCCACTCACACTGAATGTGAGCAATAAAAAAATCACTACATATAGGCTATAAAATAAAGACAGTCACACCAACATCTGCTGCCACTCTTTACATCATACAGCTATCCTGTTACAGTATTCACACTCTTTTATGTTTTCACATGAACTTATAACAACTTGGATTTGAAGTCATGAATTCCAATTAAAGAATTTTGAAATATTTTTCATGCATTTGTTCCTCTTTTGAGTCAATCATTTGTAGAACCTTGCTTTTTGCAGGGTTACGGCGTCAAACCTTTTTCGGTTGTGTTTATGTTGAGTAATTTTCACATCTTTCATGGTAATATAGCTCAGACTTGTTCCGACTGGATGGAGAATGCAGGTGAACATAACTTTCGTTTTCTTACTGCAGATTCTCGGGTAGCTTTATATCTGGACGTTGAATGATGAAGATGATTCTAAACAAACCGTTCTACTGTACTATAACTTTGGTTGTTCAATTAGGGTCATTATATGTGGGGAGAATAGCCTCCCCACAATATGATTTTACCACCGCTATGCTGCACCGTATGGATGGTGATGTGAAGTTTCCATTAAAAAAAATGTTTTGCACCAAGAGATAAATCTTCATTGGTATTTTATCTCCCTTGCCTACTTCTTGGGGTTTTTAAGGCTTCATTTGTGGAGTTCAGAACCAAGAGCAATCCTTTTATGAGTTCCTGATCTCTGGATCTCTGCTTCCCCAACTGCTTGCATGGCCATGTCTGTAGCCTTGCAGTTCCTCCAGAATCTGGCCACTTTAGATCATGAACTGCATCTCTGAGACACTAAAACCTTGAGATATTGAGGAAACCATTCATTTAACATCTGTCTGCTGTCTTCTTTGGTCTTCAGGCTGCATTTTGTTCTTTAGTGTCCCTAACAAACCTCTGAAGCCTTCAAGAACAGAAGAAATTAATTTATACCGAGTTATATTACAACCAGGTGGAGTATATTTGTGATTTCATTGACCTCTATTTGCTGCAATGAATGGTATTTAATGCTGAATATTAATGCGAACCACAAATGAGATTATTTCCTCTTTATGAAAGATTTTTAAAATGTTTAATTTTCCTTACGCCTCAAAATTGTGTGCTACTTGGTGTCGGTTTATTACATAAAACCCTGATGAATTACAATCAGGTTTTTAGTTGTAATGTGACTAAACGTGAAAAGGAATACCTTAGCAAGGCAATGTAAACTAATGCATCTCTTTTAAATAAAAGACTTTAACTGATTATTGATGAGCCACACGGCTGGGATTAGAGTATCGACCGAACAGAGCACTGACCAGTTGTTGACCTGTAAGATGGTCAGCCCCGTGTCCTGCGACAGCTGCTTCTTCTGCTCCTCCGATGGGTACGGATGCTGGGAACACACAAAGACACCCAGAGAGAGTGGAAGTAAAAAAAAAAATCAAAGACCCTGAGGTGTGATGCTGGCAGATCTGAAAAGACGATCCACCCAGAAAAACACAAAGCCTCCCCTTAAACCCAGACTGAAATAATGTGTGTGAACTCTCAGTGTGAATTCTGCAGACCCTTCATCTAAATTCCCATCTACACTCACATTTAAAGCCTCACTAAACCCACTAACTCGGTCTCTTTTTTCCCCTCGCTCCACGCACACATACACATACTGTAATAATTGGAGTGAAGCAACGTTTGACCTGCCTCATTTAGTAGCTAATTACTAATCTAACCACCTCACCAACAATTACACACCCCATTTCTATCACTTCTATCACGAGCATATTCACATAATCACTTAATCCCCAGTTTTACATTTAATTTAATTGACCTCCATCGTACACTCGCTTCCCTTCTTTGTCTATCTCTGCACTTGACGCTTTTCCCACAGTAAATCCTTTGAAAGGCAATCACTCTACCACCGCTTTACGTCTGCAGAGGTGGTCCTAATAGAAACTTTTCAAGTGCAGGGGATGATTTCAGTGAGGTGTGATTGAAGGAGGGAGACAGGAAGCTCACCGACAGGTGCTGGAAGAGCCACGCTCTCATGATGTTTGTGGCCACTTTGGGGAAGATGCCCCTCTTCTTGTTGTTTCTCCTGTCCCGGTCGCTCTCGTCCTCCTCCCCTGTGCTGGGCGAGGCCACTCCCCCATCGAGACCGTCTCCTGCAAGACAGGCGGTGGAGTCAGTGCAACGCACGTTACAAATCACACTTATGTTTATAAATCCACGTAAAATGACTCAATTGGATTTAAATTACAGCGTTATTAGCTAGCTGCACCACCACCTGCGGAGAGAGTATATAGCGGGGTAGGTCATCTATTGCTAAATAAATGGCCATGTATTTCAGCAGCAATAAAGGTAATTTGGAGAGCAAATGACTGGGCAAGTTTTATTTAGACAACTGATGATCCCTGTACACTGCAAAAAAAATGAAATCTAATTAAGTCATTTCTTCTTAAAATAAGTGCATTTTTTCTTGAATTAAGGATTTTAGTGAGACACTTTGCCAATGGAACAAGACAATTTACACTTAAAATAAGAAAAAACAATTACATTGTCTTATTTTAAGTGCATTTTATCTAGATACCTTATTTTAAGAGTAAAAATACTAATTCCATTGGCAAATCACCTTATTTACCTGCTCTAATTATGGGTAAATACCTTTAATTTAAGACATTTTTACTCATTTTGAGATCATTTTTGCAGTGTAGGCTATGCACTGCAAAAACTATCTAAAAATAAGTAAATAATTCTTAAATTAAGTGTATTCACCCTTAATTTGAGTCGGTAAATGAGATGAGAGTAATTTTACTCTTAAAATAAGATAATTAGATAATATGCACTTGAAATAAGACAATGCAATTGTGTTTTCTTATTATAAGTGTAAATTGTCTTGTTCCATTGGCAAAATGGCTCTTTTACCTCCTCAATTCAAGAACAAATGCACTTATTTTAAGAAAAAATTACTTATCTAGATTCAGATTTTTTGCAGTGTGGCGCCTTGCATAGTGAGCCATATAACTAACAGAAGCAAGCACTGATTTTGTGCAACTCAAAACCTGAACATTTAAGTTTAATATAAAATAAGAACCTTTTCATCACCTAGAATGCTGTTTTTCACTCTGATGTTCACAAAAAAATGCTTTGCCTGACAGTTGAAATGTTTTTTGTTGGATTATATGAGAGACCCTTTATTAGTGTCTTCTGGTAACATACTAAATCCTAAGTTGTCAACTGATTTGTGCATTGATATTATATAAATGGGTGAGTTAAGGTAAAAGACTGTCAGTCTTTAAAAAAAAAACATTATATAAGTTTGCTTCGTTTAATCAGCTTAAAAAGATGTAAAAATATGCTCATAGGATGAGCTTTTTATGGGCTTTTATGGGGCAGCCGCTCAGTTAACATTAATGAATAATTGGCCAAATAGCGTTCCTATCCATAACACTTTGTACAACCATAAAGGTTAGAAGTTGTTATATAAATGCAGTCCATTAAGCACTTTACAGGGCGTAGTGGCTGTGTCAGACTTTTGTTGAACAGTTGTTCATATTATCATTCACATGTTCATCATGATTCACTAGAACTCATGTCTACATGCCTGCGTCGCTGCAGTTGTCTCCTGTGCTGTGAGAGGGCAGACCACAGGTGCCTGGTGTTCCCAGAGGCGTAGTGGCACATTCATCTGGCTCTCGTAACCACGATGCATTCTGCAGGGGGAGAGATAGGGATGGAGGAAAGGATGCAAGGAAGAACAGGTTTTAATTCAAAGTAAAAAAAATATATACTTATATATATGAAAATATTGGGGTGTCTTACCTGCTCTGACAAACTAGTGCAGGATCCGCCAAAGTCCTCCATGTCTGACTTAGAGCCTCCCTCCCGCTCATCCAGGACGAGGTCAGTGGGCATCTTTCCTTTCAGGCAGGTGATGTAGCGATGGCAGAAGTTATCACACAGGTCGTGTACCTTTAAAAGAAAATTACCTCTAATTATACTTGATATCAGTTTGCAAATAAATGTTCATAATTTAACCAAATAAATTTTGCTATAGTGTTCATCTTTCTCAGTATAAGTATTAACATTATTGGTTGTATGTGCAGCTTTGTTTTTACCCAGTTTCTCTTTGATGACTTAATGAGCCCATTTACTGGAGCAATTATCTGTTTTTTTTATAGCCAATACCAATAGAGCAAATTAGTTTTTGGTTCCAAGAATGATCAGACATTAAATCAATCTGTCAATATCTAGGTATCCTGTTGCTAACTGGTGCTTAGCTGCTGCAAAACTCAAAAAATAAAAATTTAATCTGTAAAAAAAAAAAAAGTGTAAGCTCTGCCAGGCTCTGCTAAGAACACTCAGTATGAAGGCAGATATCTAGTGGAGAGGAATCAGAAGTGTTAATTTTCTATCTCAGAGAGGAGTTTAGAATGAAGTCAGAAGAAGGAAAAAGCTTCTGGTTTTCCTCAAAAGCATAACCAATGTTCATTCATTGTATTTTTCTGGTTTGTAAAGGAGCAGTCTGCCATGAGATGCTTATACCTACCCACCTTAGTGACAATTCCTCCAATTGGAAAAGTAATACATTTTAAATTCCAGTCAACCTTGCAGTTTTTAGAAAGCCCTAGAAATTTTAAAGTATGGCTGCAACTAACAATCATTTTGCAAATCGATTAATCTGTCAATCATTTTTTCATTTAATGGATTAAAGGTATAGTGAAGGATGTTCCTTTTTCTGGGTGGATCATCAAAATAAGTGGTCCTCCTAATTGTAAATCATTCTGGTGATATGTTTACGTGTAAGGCCGTCCTACGTGCTCGCCCCCATTTTCATTTACCGGTGGTGAGTCTGACGTAGTGGAAAAATTGCAAATCTTCTTTTGGAAAGTAAGCTTGTATGAGCGATGCAAACAGCAATTTTTTAACAGAGAGTGAACACTCTCACATGCATTTAATAGGCGTTCCATCGCTGGAGCAGGTCCAGGGTTGTGCATGTGAATTCATTTTTTTTTTAAGTGGAGAGGGTGGGTCTTTTCAGAAATTTGCGAAAATCCTTTACAATACTTTTAATAATTGGGTATCCAAAGGTTCCTTTGTTTAACGAAATTAAATCAGGTGAAACTAAAACTTTTCAACTTGAGGAGTTCTGGATAGAACATATTGACATACAAATATGACATACAAATATTTTTTAATCTTAAAAGCAAAATGTATATATATTTTTACAATTTTGATATAATTACTGCTGTAAGTGGGTTGCTTTGTCAGCTAAAGGCCTGTTCTAGAGTCTCCATTTAACGATGAATGGATTACTAAATTAATTGATGATCATTTCAATAATCGATTAATCACGATCAAGATTAATTGTTGTTTTAGCTCTATTTTAAATTGAAGTTGGTTTGATCACATCTGATAGAAAGACTGTTTTGAATTATTAATCTCAGAGGGTAATGTTTGCTGCTGCAATTACAAACCAAAAAATGTTGGAGACTTTTAGTTTTCCAGCAGTTAAAAAAATAGCTGAGGAATCTTAGTGGAATCTAATGTGAGAACCCAACATTTCAGGTTATATATGACTATATATTAAATATATAAATATACACACAAACAGAAACTAGAGGATAATTTAACATTTGAAACAAATGAGCAGAGTTCAGGAGGGTGTGACAAACCTTCTCTAGCTCCAGTAAATGAAATCGAAGAACCTGTATAGCCTGGATCATCTGTTGGAGAAGATTATCATGTCAACATCGCTCACGATCCACTGAGTGCAAATGGCATTTTGAATTTTAGCGCTCTGTCAGCTCATGCATCATACCAAGTTGTCCAGCTCAGGATTGGATGAAAAAATCGGCTTCTCGGAGCGAATCTGCAAAACACATTCATCGTCTCAGCATAAAAATTAAAAAAATCAAAACAAAAAGCCACAAAATGACAGAAGAGATGTGCTGCTTCTCACACACCTGCTTGGCGAAGGCGGCGATGTCGTCATTGAAGGATTCGGAGGAACAGACGTCACTGTGGTTGACCATCCCGGGGAGGTGGGAGTTGGCTGAGAGGGAGGAGGAAGAGTCCCGAGGGGAGCAGGTGGCCAGCTCACACTTCTCAAACACTAAGGCCAGCAGTGGAAAGAGTGGGTGACTGCCCACACACACACATAAACACACACACACATATACGTAAACGGTTAACATACCAGACATAAACACAATAACAGTTGGTATAGAGAACACATGATGCAGAACATGATCCACAAACTGTACAACAGAGCATGTATGAAACAGACAGCTGTAAACATTCAGCCAAGACTGTAAACCACAGAAATCCTCCTACCCATAGATCTGGTCCTTGTGGTGTTTGAGGGAGTCAGGGATGGCGGGGCCGTACTGTGGCGGAGGAAGCGCCCTGACATCCTCTCCGTACCCCCCCACCGGCATGCCCTCCGACCCTGAGTAGTGCACCAGCTCTTCATACTGAAACACAATTAGGTTTAGAGACCGAAAGCGTGAGATACATTCGACATCTGGGGTCACGCCACACGGTATCTCGCCGTTATTTTATTATGTGACCGATCCGTCGGGGGTTTTGGGGGGGGGCTGTACAGTTGGTAGTCATAATGCGGTTTTATAATTTAGGAGAATTTTTGTTTGTGTGTCACTGCAGGGATTTTGAGCTTTGGTTTGATCAAAAATTAAAAACTGACTCGACCTTTTATGAGGATTACAATTCTGCTGTTTGTTTGCAGAAGTGTTCCCTGACACTCACTGACACTTTTTTTATACTTTTTGTATTGCAGCACATTTCGGCAACAAACTTCAAAGTATTTTGTGAAGCATTCATCTATTAGACCAACGCATGATAACACATTGTGAAGCTGAAGGAAAAGTAGATGTCTCTTTTCCTTTTGCAGATCAACCTTTTGTGACAAATACAGGTTTTATTTTTTACCATCTTTTAGGGAGTGAATGTTTTGCCCATTCCTCTTTTCTAAGGTTTATTCAGATCAGTTTGATTAGAGAGAACCCCAGAGGGACATTTTTAATCTCTTGTCCATTTTTTAGGCCTGGATTTTGACTGGGCCGCTCAAACATATAAATCTTTCCATTGTAGCTCTGGTTGTATTTCCAGGGTTGTCATCCTGCTGTAAAGTAAACATCCACTGCCATGTTAAATGTTTTGCAGCCACCTTAGTTTTTCTCTCTAAATTTCCCTGATCTTTTCTTCTCTGTGTGCTCATGAACTGTTTTAGTTTTATGCCTCACACTAAGCTATACATGAAGGCAAAGACCTTCTCTTCAATCTTCTCTTCAGTGAAGACCTTCCTCCAAGATTGTATCTCGTAAGGCCTTATAACAATCTGCAAGCTGACTTTTTTTAGATTTGCTTTAACAGTCGCCTGTAGCGGTAAACTTTACCATCTTTAAAGCCAAAATAGAAGGAAAGCATGCTGAGGCCTCCCTGTCAACCTCGCTGTCAGACACCGACATGGGGTCTGCTCACTCACTAGCAAAACTCACCATGACACAATGAATCAGTCCCACATATGGCATGCTCACAGGGACATGACATCGCCAAAGACTTAAGGAAAACACACGCTCAGCAGCAGCCTGTCAAGGCACACGTTGCATGGGTAAACACATCCGACTGAGTGTGTTATGGAGCTAATCTGAGCCTGTTTGCTGCTCTGGCATGTCTGTGCTAAGGTCAGCACATCTGCTTCTGTTTCTCTTTCTGCTGGATTAAAGGGACACAGGTCACAGTCCCACAGCACCGCTGGGATCACAGCTCAAGCACACACCTTTCAGTTCTCTGGTGGGGTTTTTTTAATCAAGCCTTGATTTGCTGAGCCTGGCTTTTTGTGTAAAAGGAAGACTGCAGCACAAATATGTGTCCAATTTCTGCTAATTTTAACTGCATGTTTAGAATGTAAAACCTGAACTATGTCTGGTGAAAAAAAATTAGACTGGAAATAAAAAAAATCCAAAACCACTGTATTCCTATCAAGCACTTTGCTGAACCCCACTTGTGTCCTAAACGGCTTATCAAATTGTTTTGAGTCCCATATGGTCACAGAGAGCACCTGCTCTGAGGCCCTGGACACCCTCTAGTTTTTATGGCGGCTGGCTATTAAAACAATCACCGCTATCAGATTGCGCGTCTCCTTTTACGCACGGAGCGGATCAAGTTTCTGTGCGTCAGAAGGATCAAAGCGCGCGAGATCAGGCGCTAAATTCCGCGAAGTCATAAATTAAGAACAAACAAATCTGATCGACAGACATCTTCATAACTGTTTACAACTGTGAGGGTTTGGTTTTTTTTTTAGTTTTTTTCCAAAAAGAAGAGCTGTTGCTCCGACACATGGATCAGAGCGTCTGATGCGTCTCAGCGCCCTGCCTAATGTGGCGTTTAATGAAAGAGCAGCTGAGCTAATAGATGAAACGCATACAAAATACTTCTGTATAAGTATTTATCTGTTTAATCTTACATGCATTATGGAAAAAGTCATAATGGGATTTAGCTTTTTTTTTTTTTTTTAAGAAATGGTAAAAGAGCGGACTAGTTTGAAGTTTAATCATCTAGCAAAAAATCTTAGTTTCTATATCCTTTTTGTATATATTTGCACCAAAATTAAGAGTAAAGATTGAAATCCACATGCTGACGTATTAACCTGGAACATCTAACGAAAACCTTTTGAAAAAATTCAAATTAAATGCGCAAAAGATTTAGAATATATGACATTTTTACATGAATATTTTATACTGATAAGGAATTTGATTATGAAAACTTATTCAGCTCAGATTGCAAAAATATTTATTTAAAAGCTGTATTTCATCTTTTTTGTTGTTCAAAAGGCTTTACACCTGTTGCAGCCTCCAAACGTTGATTTTACGCGACGATCTTTCACAAATCATCCTCTCCAAACACTAAATGACATAATGAATAGTATCCAATATTAAGATTCTTTCCATTCTAAACAAATATTAGTTTTTAAATGTCTTTTTCAATAAAGGTTAAAGTCTGACACCAATGATTACTCTTCTCAATGAAAACTCTTGTCATGATGTTTCAGCCTAAACTTAAGTTGTTGGTTTTAGCCAGGCTTTGTTCTTATTGTCTGTAGAGCTCAGCAGAGAACAAGAAGGGGGGGATATGAATGAAGTCAGCATTTGGCTGAAACGACAAAATGAAGCTTCTATTCAGATTTAGGATCACCTTAGAAGGCTGAGGCTAAACTTAAAGCAAAGTGCAGCTTCCAAAACCTGAAAACTTACCAGTAACTGAACATTTTTCTATCCACATCACAACCCAGAAAGGAAATATGAAGATATTTATTCAAATGCATTTATTTTTACGCAAATATTGGTCACAAAGACTGCATTAAACCTGCTCACACAAAATGTTTGATAACTATCACACCACTTTGACTTCAATCATTTGACCTGTTATCTTTGTCTCTAAAACCAGATCTTTTTTGCAGTTGTTTTAGACTCTGTGATGTACAGATCTACTTTATGAAATCCCTCCTCCTGCACACCCTCCATCCACTAATTGCTCAGTCCGCCTGCTGCCCCTTCAGCCTCAGCCTGTTCCTCCTCCTCCTCCTCCTCCACCACCCAGCCTCTGAATCAGTGTAGCAAAAAAACTGACCTACATACCGAGCTGAAGAGCTGTATCTCCTCTGCTCTGCCCTGCCTCTTAATGACCAAGTCTCTAACCTTTAACTGACAGACATCAGACAACCTGAAATAAGGGCCTCTTATTGGAAGTTACCACATCCATAATCTCCACTGGATTGAAGTTTATAGATAGATGTTAAGAATTGAAGTGTTTTAAGATCAAAACAGGTTATTTTGAAGATTTCTAATTAGGATTTAAAAACCTTTTGTAGTGTTTCCCCCTTAAACAAGCTCATGCCACTTCCAGCCCACTGCTCTCTCACTGGGCCTTGCGCGTTTTTGTGGCAGCTGTCCATTGCAAACAAGCCTCCCAGCCATGTGCTCCTGTTGTTATGATTTTAAACCGATCGGACTGTGGTTTTATTACAGCTCTGCAAATAAACTCGTAGAAAAGAAAAAAAAGCCAATCGGACCTACCCTTTTCTCCATGCGCCTCGACAGCCAGACCTACACCGGAGAGGATGATGCGCTGCTCGGCTGTGCTCCAGCGATCCTTCCCCCCTCCCTTCCTCTCTGTATCCGGGCTCCTGGAAATCAGAGTGCATTTGCTTTTATTTATTTTTTTTTATGTTTTCATAAACGAACCAGTAATTAAGTTGTGAGCACAATCAACAAGGAGACAGAACAGCCCGCAAGGAGTGAAGACAAACATTAAGTGAGCAGAGAGCGGCTGTGTTTACTCCCTGTCCATCGCGTTTTATGTTTCACCATAATGATGGGGACTGGAGGGTTTATATGGGCGGCTGATGACCGCCTGTGAAAGCAGCCTAATGGCTTATAATGCGCTCAAAGGTAATAAAGGCTTTAACTGATTCCCGCAGCCTATTAAATGCTATTGCTTGGCGAGTAGGAAAACCTACGGAGCTCCGGTAAATAGCGTGAAATGTCCCACCGAGACGTAAATATCCAGTCCGGTTCGGGCCGCGTCCGGTGCGGGATTGAGGAGAGGTGAAAGGGGAGCAGCGGCTTCCTGCAGCGCGTCGTTCTCCGCTTGGTGCGCCTCTCGCTCCGGATCGCTGGGAGATGATGCTCGGCGCTTCTCTTAGCGGCGTCCTCCCCCCTCCTGCTCTCTCCTGCTTTTTGGCTCTCTGCGCTCGCTGTCCGCGCAGCAGCATACGGCGACAAGCTGGAAAATGTCACAGCCCGGGATGAGCGATGGTGTTTTCAGCCCCAAGAGGAGAGAAAGAGAAGGAGGAGGAGGAGGAGTGACTCTAGTGGTGGCCAGGCGGGTTGCGGGGAGGTTTCTGGGGGTCACAACGCGACGGGATCACTACCCCCCCCCAAACACACTCCACCCATCCCTCCCTCCTCTATTCAAGCTCCTCACCCCTCCCTCCTTCCACTCTCTTTGACCTACGCCTTCTGAAACAAACTCAACCACAATCATAGATTTAAAAAATAACAATAAACAAATAAATAAGTAAATATATATATATATATAGTCGGCACCGATACCAATACCAGTATCGAGCGGCCCGATCCAGCACTAAAATGGTGGTATCAGTATCAGCGAGTACCAACATATAGGGCCCAGATAACATTCTGAGAGCCAAACATTTATTCAACTATTGTCACCCATTCCAGGTAGGCAATAAAAAGTTCTACTGGATTCACTTTGCATTAGTCTTTTTCCTGCTTCACAAAGGTAGGCAGCAGCTTGACAAAGCCATGATGGCAATTATTTTACATCTAAGTAGTATGCAGTTCTTCATATATACAAACATCAATTTCAAACAGATGGTATCGGTACCGATACCATCTGTTTACAATACAGCCAGGTATTGGTTATCGTATAAGAGCCAAAAAATTGCATTGGCACAAGATTTATATATATATATATATATATATATATATATATATCTTACCTGACTCCGCCAGATGGATTTGCTCCGCATATCCATCTGAAAACCTTCCATTGAAGTAATTTTGGGAAGGGGCGAAAATACTGGTTAGCTGATTGGCCTATTTTGGTGATAGACGGGCCAAATAAACCAATCAGATCAACGAAGCATATGAAGTACTAACAGAGCGACAACGAAAACACAAGCCAGGCTACTCTTGCCGAAACCAGTCGGGAGAAGAGCAAAAACATCTTTTCCTCTGAGAAAAGCCTCCAGAGCAGTGTTTTGCTCTTCTTTCAGTGAAGAAATAGTTCTGATAAAACTTGCTCGATAGCCACGCTAACGCTAGTTTCATCGGCTGAAGCCGCCATGTTCTTTAGACTGAACTGTCGCGCTTCTCGTTGCGTCACACCTCAACCCGCCTCAAAGCCAACGCTGATTGGACGTTCGTTTGGTGAACGGCTACAAAATTTCTTTAACGGAGAGTCTCCAGACTGATCTGCGAGTGAAACCTTGAAAGCTCCCGAGATCAGAATGGTCTCACGAGGCTACTGCCTTTTGCCTATAGACGGCCGTAGATGGGCACCAGCCCCACAGCACCCAGGTGGAAGAAGATGGATAAATATATTTGCCCATTTCTGTAATATATCCATATCTTTGTTTGGGATCACTAGGCTCTTGTCCCAGAATAGCATTAATTAATGTATCTGTGGAACACATAACCTGTCTCTTTCCTGAGCTGTAGGATGCTTGGACACCCCAGGATTTTCAAACCATCATCCTAGCAGAGGAAAATTGTAACTTCTGGCATCTGGGAACTGAACTCATGGAGGAACCTGACCTCTGGGCATCCACAAGTTTTTTTTGGATATGTTTGCAGATTTTTTGGGATATTTTTAATCCATGATATTGTGATGGTCTTGCGATAGTCGTATGTCTTAAGTGCATCCACATATGGGTCTTTTTAGATTATACATTTTTATATAATATTCCCGCATTCTGCTTGTGAATTTTCTCAGTCATCCATGTTATAGTCATTCCAAAAAAGTAAAAAAAAAACATCCACTGGACTTTATTTCCAAGTTTGAAGAAAGACATATTGGCTCCCATCCAGGAAGCTTTTTCAATTCAAAATGTCTGAATACGGTTGAGTTACAAACTTTGTAGCGTGGACCAAAATAAAGCCTTGTTTTGGCTTAAAAAACATGCAAATTGAACCGGACAGACAGTCCAATTTGCATCCCTTAGGGCAGTGTTTTTCAATCCTGGTCCTCAAGGCACCCTGCTCTGCATGTTTTGGATGTTTCTGTGGTTCAGCACTCCTGATTCAGATGATTGCAGTTCAGCAAAGCCTGATAATCTGCTATCAATTGATAACAGGTGTGTGAAAGCTGGGAAACATCTAAAACATGCAGGGCAGGGTGCCTTGAGGACCAGGATTGAAAAACACTGCCTTAGGGAATGGGCGGTCGTTTGGGTTCTTTATTTGCCTGCAATACCAGATACTGGACTATGCCTCTGAAAGGGGGATCCTTAGGGTGAATTGTTGGCCTGACTGAAAAGGCAAAATGTTCAGGTCCTCTGTATTTTCAGTAGGTCATATATTGTGCATACAGTCCCCTTTATGCCCACATTCTCTATGTAAAGTTGAATTTTTCTTTAACTCTGACGGGTTAAATTAAAAGTATAAAACTGAAATGCCATATATAGCTATAAGAATTTGTATTTATCCACTAAACAATGACATCCGCTATCTCTCCCTGTTCAAAGACATTTATGTTACCATGTTAACTTTCAATGTGAGAAAGGAAAAATAGAAAATAAAAAGGTAGAAATAGAAAACCCAAAAAGTTTTTGTTGATACTCTTTGTTCTGTTTCTTAAATCATTCTTGTACAATTTTGCTTTGTTCTGCACATTAATCAACAAAAACAAATGGTAGTAATTAGGAATGGTACTTAAAAAAAAAGCTCAGATATGTGACAAAGTAATGTCTGCACTGATGAACGGACTCAGCAAAGCATTTGTCGAAAGCATTAGATTATCACTTTAGGTTTGCATCTTCCCATAGTGCAACTTGGTGGCATGTATTTACTAGGAAAGAGATACAAATCCACCTGGTGAAATGTGATGTTAAAGTAAATGTGGACCAAGAAAGCTTGTCTCATGTGTTTAGGGTCCAGTTCTGATACTTACATACTGCTTGTTGACACTTTTAACATTAAAGCAAGCTTAGGTAATTTCCTTAGCACTCAAACCTCTAATATGAAGGATGTCAACCATCCTTTTCTTTCAATATGCATCAAAAACCCATCAGTAAACTTATTTCAGTTCACAATAGTTGTGTTTTTTCAGTAAATTGATTAGAGATGTGAACAATTAAATTATATTTGAAAAGAAACAAAAAAAAAGGAGGAACAGGCTTAACTTAAAGAACGTTTTTTTATTTTATTTTTTTATTCTGCTGCCCTCAACAGAGACACACCCTAGGCAGAGAACCCTTCAATGCAAGCCCAGAATTGCTATTAGGGGTCTGCCCAGATTTGATCCTTTCTTCATTTTTCTCCCGCCCTCCCTGCAGCTGCAAGATATTTATCAGGCTGAAGCTTTGGATGAGATTCATAATAATTCTCTCTGTGGAGCCCATAGTTGAAAAGACTTCAGGAAAATCTGGACAATCAATTTGATGATTAAGCTGCAGCTATTAAATTCAGCACAAGAGCCTGTGGAAATGTGGACAACCTGTAAAAAAAACAAACAAACAAAAAAACGTTATTTATGAACCTTAATAGAATGTTTTGTAGGTTAATTGTAAAGCAAATTTAAGAGCCTTAATTAGATCACCTATAATCTAAGGTCATAAATAAAACTGAAACGTGCTTGTTGACTGACAGACAGCTTTCAGAGTGTTTTATTGTTTTCTAGACATTCATTAAGGCCTTTTGACACATGCCCAAATGTCACCCTTTGGTCTTTCTCTTGTTGATTGAAAAAAAGAGGATGAAATAAGAAGGATAACAGAACCAGGACAGTGGGAAAGTTGAACTTTAACCAAAGAGACACAGAGGGTAGGAAAAAAAGCCCATTCACATGTTAGTGAGTAGCCAAACTTTCATGCTTGTGTTGTAAATGGCACCTCAGTAACATAATAATTATCCAAAACGCAGCTCTTTGACCGGCCCCGCTGTGAGGGGGGGCTGCACTTCAATCAGCAGCGGCTTGGAGGGGAGCAGCGGGCCGGGGCAGGAGTCTCTGTGGGCGGCATGCATGTTTTGCGTGGCCGGGGCCCCCCCTCACAGTGCTGTCCGTGCAGCCATGGGGCCTTTAAACTCTGCAGGGTGCGCGCTTCCCTCTGGGCTGATCACAGCGCAGGAGCCGGAATAAAGCAGCGTCAATGGGCTGGAAAAGGCGCGTTTTCCCTTCAACAGGTTGGATTGGAAAGGATTACCCGCTGAAGTGTGCAACATTCATGTTTACAAGGATTAACATTTATCTTCCGAACCCTAACGTCCTGGGCAGAATTGATTGTCTTATGGAGATGAATTGTACCATAAATCTTCAACATTTATCTAAGAGTCTATTATCTAAACACGTCGATTACTTTAATTTACATAAAAACGCGTATAAATAACAGTCCATCAGCCCGTTCCTATAAAACATAATTGAATTTAATAATAACATTTATATAACTGCATTTAAGGATTTTTTTTAAGATAAAAACGTATTTTTTTTTTTTTTTTAGATTTAAGATTAGATTTAGATTTTTCTAACTATTATGCGTTTACTTTAAACACAATATACGATATTTGTAGATATCTATAATTGCTTGATGATAGAAGTATATGCAATCTGCTTAATGCTTCTAAACAACAGAAATAACATAATTTTTCTGCATTTTCAGGTCAGAATAAAGTTTCAAGGATGCAGAGACATGCAGACAATCATTTGCAGGTCCTCCTTGGATGCAGATTAAGAATTAACAGTTGCCTTCACTTTTGTAATGAAAACATCATTCATCTAAAAAAAAAAAAAGTGCGTGTGACATGGGGTGGGGTGTGAACCACATGCTGGCCCAACTTGTGAATAGTGAAGTGTTGTGGCTAAACAAGTTGCATAAACTTAATTTCCTGTTTTAACACATACAAAAATCTTTGCAGTTCTAAAAGTTCAAACTTTTAGAGAGTTCATCATAATAAAATCTGTATAAACGCCACAATCTTTCCCTTCTATTGACAAAATGCAATAAACTGAAAAAAAAAAAAACTGAAAAAAAAGCTGAATGTTGAAAAAAACTCTAAATCATGTCACAGTCTTTGCATCAAACTTTTTTTTTTACCATGTGTTTTTTCCCCCCCAATGTTTACAGTTGATCACTGCACTTTAAGAAATGTAAATGT